ACCGACAAGGCAGGGCCGCGACTGCGGCCTGACGGGGCCGCGACAGCGACCTGACGGGGTCGCGCGCTGGCCTGACGGGCCTGCAGAGGCTACGTGCGGGCGGCGAGGGCCTGCAGAGGCAGCGCGCCGACCTGACGGGCCTGCAGGGGCGGCTCTCGGGCCTGACGGGCCTGCAGAGGCGGCTCGGGGGCCTGACGGACCTGCAGGGGCGGCTCGAGGGCCTTACTAGCGTGCAGGGGCGGCGCACTGGCCTAGGGCAGCAAGAGGCAGCGCGAGGGCTGCAGGACGGCGCGCGGGCAGAACGAAGGGCGGGGGCGCGCGAGGGCACACTAGCAGAAGAAGGCCCACGAGGGCGCATGAGCAGAGAAAGGCGCAAGAGGGCGCACGTAAGGTAGGGCGCACGAGGGCGCTTCTAGCGGAATAGTGGGCCCGTAGTAGTAAGCGGTCCTAGGTGGCAACCTAGGCTCGTAATACCATGTCAGAATGAGCAAGGGTGATTGCACTAGGAAAGTGTTGGGTACAAGTAGGAAACCCTAACTTACTGTACCCCATATTAACTACCCCACTACAGCCTAACCAACTGTAGCAGATATAACATTTGACACTTCTGAGGACGAGTGCTTCGAGCACGGCGCACCACATTACGACCAGGGTCAACCCTGTCCACTGGTTGTGGGCCTGCTCGTAGATCCAGGTCTTCCATATACGCTTGAGCCGCTGCTTCAGTCAAGTGTTCCTCAGGCTCCCAAGAGTTGTGTTCCGTCCCATAGCCTTTCCACTGAATTAGGAACTCACGAACTGTTTTGCGGCCGCGTTGTCGATCACGGTGCGTTAGCACACGCTCGACTTCATAAAAGAGTTCCTCCCCGAGAACGATGGTTGGTGGTGGTAAGTACTTGCCTTCTGCAACGTACTTATTCAACAGAGACACGTGGAAGACGTTGTGAATCTCTAATCTCGCAGGCAATTTGAGCCTATATGCGACCTCACCAACACGCGCAATCACCTCAAAGGGCCCAATCCAACGAGGGAAGAGCTTTCGTGCTCCCGGGATCTTGAGACGAATGTTCTTCGTACTCAGTAATACTTTGTCATCAACTGCAAAGACGACTTCCTGGCGTTTCAAGTCGGCATAGGACTTTTGCTTCTGTTGGGCAAGCTGCAGCCAGTGGCGAGCGGACTTCAATACCGCTTGCTGTTTTCCAATAAAGTCCTTTGCGGCAGGGATTTTGAGGTTCTTAATCCCATGCGTCGCAGGGGTTGTGGGGTGCCGACCACAGTTCAGGACAAAGGGTTTCTCATGTGTGCTTTCATGCACAGAATTGTTCACAACGAATTCTACGACTGGCAACAATTCATCCCAATCGTCATGAGTTGGGCTTATAAAAGAACGAAGCATTTGCTCAAGGGTGCAGTTGCTCCGCTCTGTCTGTCCATCCGTTTGTGGGTGGAAAGCAAACGACATCTTGAGCTTCGTTCCTAGTGTCTTAATGACCTCTTGCCAGAACCGGCTTGTGAAGCACGGATCTCGGTCAGACACCAACACACGAGGCAAACCGTGTAAGCGGAAAACGTGTGTCACAAAGAGCTTTGCCGTATCTTCCGCAGACACGTCAGTCGTCGTGGGCACGAAGTGCACCATTTTGGTCAAGCGATCTACAAACACTAGTATCGCCGTATGACCATTTCGCGTCTTGGGGAGATCGGTGATAAAATCCATCGATACACTCTCCCAAGGTTCATCGGGAATCTCAAGTGGTTGAAGCAAACCACCAGGCTTCAGTGTGCTCGGCTTGTTCCGAGCACACGTGTCACAGCGAGTTACAAACTGCTAGACCTCAATACCCAATCCTAGCCACCAGTATACATCACTGAGGGCCCACCGAGTTTTCTTGACACCCAGGTGTCCTCCATACTTAGTGGCGTGCACCTCTGCTAGAATATCATTCCGCAGGTTTCCCACATGTGGGACAACAATTTCTTTCTTGTGCCACTAGAGCTCATGCTCCCACAAGAGATCCTTTGTATCCTGTGGGTTCCAAAACCAAGGGTCAATATCATACCCTGCGCGAATGCGTTTCAGAAAACCACCAAAGGCAATCTCACTCACTCGAGCAGCTGCGAGGATGCTGAAACAAGCAGCAAACACTGCTTCATGTTCATTATCATCAACACCCGTTGCTGCACTAATCGGCTGTCTGCTCAGAGGATCAGCCATGTTTGTCGAGCCCGCTCGATATCGAATATCATAGGTGAACCCACTGAGGAGTTCAGCTCATCGAGCTTGACGGCGGGTGAGTGTGGCTTGAGTGGCAAAATAGGTGTTCGGACAGTGGTCGGTCGTGACCACAAAGTCAACACCTTCGAGATAACATCTCCATATTCGTAGCGCATGCACAACTGCCAACAATTCTTGTTCGGAAGTTGTATAGCGCTGCTCAGCCGGTGAAAGCTTTCTACTCTCAAATGCCACGGGGCGTCCTTCTTGCAAAAGAACTGCTCCAATCCCTACTGTCGAGGCATCAGTTACCACCTCGTAGGGCTTGGACGGGTCTGGCAAAGCCAGCACTGGAGCATTGGTCAGCATGGTTTTCACCTCCTCAAATGCTTTCTGGCATTGATCGGTCCACTGCCAAGCATTACCCTTACGAGTGAGGGCAGTCGGTGGAGCGACTACGGAGGAATAATTTTCCAAGAAACGGCGAAAATAGTTCGCAAGTCCAAGAAATGATCTGACCTGTCCCACGTCCTGTGGAACGGGCCACTGTTGGACTGCCGCCACTTTCTTTGGATCAACTTTGAGCCCATCGTTGCCTACCAAGTGACCAAGGTATTCTAACTCGCATTTGTAGAAGTGACACTTCCACAATCGAGCAAAGAATTTATGCTCTCGCAGTTTTCCTAACACCCATTTCAGGTGTTGCGTGTGTTCTTCTTCGATCTTCGAGTACACGAGGATGTCATCCAAGTATACCAGGACGAATTGGCCGATTGCCTCCCGAAACACATCATTCATTGCTCACTGAAATGACGCGGGAGCATTTGTCAAGCCAAAACTTAACACACGCCACTGAAAATGTCCAAACGGCGTTCGAAAAGCCGTTTTAGGAACATCTTCCTCGGTGATGCGCAGCTGATGATACCCCTGAGCTAAGTCTAGCGCACTGATCCACTGAGCTCCTTGGAGCCGATCGAACAGATCCTCAATTCGTGGTAGGGGGTATCTGTTCTTCACCGTAATCTTGTTCAAGGCACGATAATCTACGCACATGCGTAATCCTCCGCCCTTCTTGTTAACGAACAAAATCAGTGCTCCGTAAGGGGATGCACTGGGTTCAATCCATCCTTTTCTGAGGTATTCCTCGATCTGTTGTTTGGCCTCTTCGTACTCAGCTGGACTGAGGCGATACAGAGGTCGAAAGGGTGGAACCTTTCCTGGTTCAACAGGGATGGTGTGACCCACTGCGCGGTCAGGCGGAAGTCCATCAGGGATGGTTTCAAACACTTCCTTAAATTCCTCTGCTAGTATTTGCATCTGAGGTGGGAAATCCTCAATTGCTGGCTCCGAGGCCTCAGCATTCTCAAGCTGCACCACGAACAGTGTATCAGCCGTCTTAACAGAATGCCCGAACTGGTTGGCCAACACACACAGCGCGCTGGTGTCAGAACATTATAGCTTATACATTTGTGTAGGCTGTAGTGGGGTAGCCCTTAAGGGGTACAACCCAATTAGGGTTAGTACTTGTACCCAACTCTTTCATAGTTCAATCATTCTCTCGTTCTCATCTTCACTGCTGGGACGTTCAGGCGTCTGTGTTTCAGTGGGCAAAGTATCATTGACTTGCCACTGGATTGCCTTTCCGTTCTTGTTGAACGAGACAATGTTGTACTGAAAGTCCAGAATGACTGCGTTGGCTCGCAACCAATCCATGCCCAGGATGAGGTCGACACCCGACAAAAGTGGTAGGACATACACGCGAACTGTTTCGCTCTAGTCCTGTACATTCATGTTGATATGTGTCTGTCCTTGACTTGGAATGACACGATCGTCACCCAAGCGGATGGGACATGACGGTCCTACAACGAGGACGTTGCGTTTCATGACCCAAGTTTCGTCAACAAGGGAAACCGACGCGCCTGTATCGACGAGAATCCTTGCTTCGTCCCCATTCATGCGTCCAGATAACAGTAGATTCTGTTGGAATCTTGGACGGATGGGACAAGCGACAACAATTTTAGGAGGTCGATAGTACACACTAAATTTGTTGTGAGCACGTCCAAACCTTTGGGAGCTGGTCCACCAGACGTGGTGCTCTTTGTCCCATGTTGCCAGGATATGCCATTCGTGAAAGCGGCGGAATAATTCTCCTTTCACGATTCGAGTCACCAATCCCACTGACGTGAGCGGATGCTCTTGGACACAACGGTTCACAATATCTATGATTGCTGGCAACTCGTTTAATGAGCAAGAGATGATTGAAAATGTATCTCTCAAGGATTCAATTGAGATGTTTTCAAGTGGGTATGATCGAGTTTAAAAACAGATCTTTCATTAAGAGAAGAGGCATACAAACAAGCGATTTTGCGTGATGCAAGCTTCTCTAGCTTTAGCAAATCCTCATCACGAAGGACATAAGCCTCATCTACTCGATCTCGCTCACCAACTAGGTACCCACCCCCTAGTTGGACTTCCGAAAATCCTTCGAGCCCGAAAGGCCAGAACCATCCGGCTTCTTGCCCTGGTTGGGCTTGCCGGAGTTCTTGACGGACTTCCTCCAACGGCAGTGATAGGACTTGTGGCCGAGCTTGCCATAGATGCGGCAGCCCGCCGGGGGCTTATCCTCATCCTGAGGATCCTTGGCAGGCCCAGCATGGGCCCTCTTGGACTGAGTCCCAGAGGATTCCCCCTTCTGCTGATAGGGCCTCTTCCAAGAGCCACCACCCCTGTGGGCCTGAGTCCTGCTACCACCGCCCCTAGGGCCTTCGGCACTAGGCTGCTGCTAAGCACTAGCGTGAGTCATGTACGCACGGAAATTCACATCCATATCAATGACCCGCTCCTTGCACTCCTTGTAGGTCCTCCACTGGTGCTCCCCACGAACAACATGCACACGCTTGATGTGCTCAGGGATTCCCTTGAAGAACTGGTGGATGACCTCGCTCTTAGGAAGAGCAGTCTTCAGCAGCGACAGAGTTTTCTCAAACTCCTTGGCGTACTCGCGTACAGGGTGGTCATCGCACTGGATGTTCTCCAGGCGGCTGCGCACCTCGAGAGCCGGGGGCTGACTCAGGAATGCCGCCAGCATGGCACCTTTGAACTCCTCCCAGCCAAAAGGATGGCCATTAGCCTCTGCGTGGCGCTTGTTGGCATACACCAACTTGCTCGCAGTGTCGTACAGGGCAAGGGTCGCAGCGACCACGCGAGCCTCGCTACGCACATTGTGGATGGACATAAAGTCCTCCGCAATGGAGAGCCAAGTCTCAACGTCAGTTTTGCCATGGACAAAACGAGGCAGGGCCGATGGGCATGAGCCAAAAGCAGTTGCTGCTGCAGTAGGAGGCTCAGCACGTGCTCCAGTAGGAGGAGGAACAGCAGGAGGTGCATCAGCAGGTGCAGCACGGCTGTTAACGGCATTGGCAACTCGCTCTGCTGCAAGAGCAGGCTGGTAGAGGTTTCCACGCCGGATCTCCTTGTATTGAGTCTGAAGCACAGAGATGTGTTTTCTCTTGCTTCTTGAGCTGATCTTGCATGAACTGGAGAGTGGTCTGCAGGTCCTGGATGAAGCTGGAGGTGTCATTTCCCTTAGGAATCGTCTGCACCTCCCTGGTCAGCTTCTCAATCAAGGCCTGAAGCTTAACAGAATCAGCCTCCAAGTTCTGGATGCGGCAGTGCTGCTCTCCAATGAGAATGTTCTGCTCCGTGATTTGAGTCTGAAGCTTAACAGCGATGTCCTCGGTCTCATTAGAGACACCCTCAGCAGAGCCAGCCTCATCCTCATTGTCAGCATCAGCCTCAATGTCAGCTTTACTTCCATTAATCTCCATGTCAACCACGAAGTCCTCAAGGTTGAGATCAATGTCAGCAGCAGCAGTAGCATTATCTCCTTCATTGCCAACAACAGGCACCTCCTTAGTAGCATCCATCTCTTGACCAGAAGCCATGAAATTGGTTAAGGAGAGGAGATCTCAACAGATCTTATAATAATCTTAAAGAAATATGATTACTCTTATAGAATCATCCAATACAGAATGTCTTAAGATTGACTTGTTTGCTAAATCTCTCTATCACCTCAATGATAGAGCAAGATATACTGCAAAGAGTAATCATCAACAAGTCCTTGTAGATCTGAAGATTAACTCTTCTACCCAGGGTAGATCAAGAGTCTTCCACCAAAGGTGGGTAAGAGAAAATATTCTCTTCAAGTTTCTTCTCTATGTTGATGAAGAAGAAGAAGCTCCTTGTAGATCTTGCACTCCACTGAAGAGTTGGAGTAGTTGTAGCTTGGAGTTTGTAGATCTTTGGAGAAGCTTTTGTAGATCTTGAAGAAACACTTGTAGATCTTGAAGAAACACTTGTAGATCTTGAAATTTCTTCAAAATATTCACTGCTCCTTGGATAAAATCCTAGATCCACAAGCTAGGATCCTCAATATATATATACATATATATATATCCAAGTAGCAAATGGCCACACAAGGCCAAGGAAGAACCTTGCTCTAGATACCAATGTAATGCCCAAGGCTATTATAATGACGGTTACAAGGGTTTTTATAATATTCCAATACAAAATAGTAGCTCTAACTAGCCTTGATAGCCTTGGAGATGAAGATTTTCTTGATGCCTTTGATGGAAAACACTTGGAATAGTAGTGTAGGGAAGCTTGTGAGTGAGCCAAAAAGACTCAGCCCAATAATCCCATTTCCAATTGTTTTGTTGGAGTGGGAGGTTGAGAATCAGCTTGCTTAGCTCAAACCCCCTCAATACACCCCTTGGGGAACTATCCCAACCATGGTTTCCATGGTGGGATGGTTCCTAGGCTTGGAGCCTATGTGGCAATTGTGTTGGGTTGGAAAAACTCAACTTAGAACCATTCAATGGTTGTGTTTAGGATAGAGTAGATTGTAACAATTGTTTGGCAGTTTTTGATTGGTTGGAATTCCAACCTTTAACATTCTCTTGGTTGAGTGGAAATGTTCCAAGCCTCCAAAGTTGAGGCTTGGCAAACCCAAACCAAGTTTCATCCCAACCAACTCAACCATCTTCACCAATCTTCCTTTGTCAAGAGAAGTTATCAACATTTGACTTAGAGAGAGATCGATGGTTGTTAGCTCGGTAGTTAGGGCAATACGTTACACCGAGAGTCAAAGGCAAATCGGGATTGCAATTATTTGGTGGTGGGAATGACGAGGACAGGTAGGCTTTGTAGTGTTCGGGAAAGAGGTTCCAAGGCAGAAAGAAGAGTTGATAAAACTCGACTGACGACTGAGCAATTCTTGAGGCTCCGGAGGAGGCAAGCCCGCTGCCCGAACCGAGAAGAGCAAACACTCCGAAACGCATGGTGGGGGGAATGATCTGCTTTGGTTTGGTTGGAGCTGAACCTTCGGAGCTTCGATTTGTCTGCTATCGGCAGCAACAGCGACTCTTTCGCTTTGGATGACAAGGATTCTGGGCCGTCAGAACTTATAGCTTACTTGTTTCTGTAGGCTATAGTGGGGTATCCCATAGGGGGTACAACCCAATTAGGGTTTCCTATTTGTACTCACTTCGTTCATAGTCATTCCATTCTCGTTCTTTGTTTTCACATGGAATCAGAGCAGGTTCCCTCCTAGGGACTGCTTCTAGGGCCCACCGAACCGCGCCCCGAGGCGCGTTTTTTTTAGCGACCCGTCGTGTCGCCCCTAGCGGACCGTTGCGCCGCCCTTCCCCTCGCGGCTCCGCCGCCCTTCCCTAGCGGCCCCGCCGCCCTTCGATCGCGGCCCCGCCGCCCTCTGCTACGCGGCCCCGCCACCGCCCTTCGATCGCGGCCCCGCCGCCCTCGGCTACGCGGCCCCGCCGCCCTCTGCCTCGCGGCCCCACCGCCCTCTGCTACGCGGCCCCGCCGCCCTCTGCTACGCGGCCCCGCCGCCCTTTGATCGCGGCCCCGCCGCCCTTTGCCACGCGGCCCCGCCGCCCTCTGCTACGCGGCCCCGCCGCCCTCTGCCACGCGGCCCCGCCGCCCTTCGATCGCGGCCCCGCCGCCCCCTGCTACGCGGCCCCGCCGCTCTCTTCGGTAGCGGCCCCGCCGCCCTCTGCTACGCGGCCCCGCCGCGCTCTGCTACGCGGCCCCGCCGCTCTCTTCGGTCGCGGCCCCGCCGCCACTCTGCTACGCGGCCCCGCCGATCCGCCCAGCAGCAGCCGCCGCCGCCTGAGCCGCCGCCGAGCCGCCGCCGAGCCGCCGCCGAGCCGCCGCCGAGCCGCCGCTGAGCCGCCGCCGAGCCGCCGCCGAGCCGCCGCCCGAGCCGCCGCCGAGCCGCCCGTGCCGCCCGAGCCGCCGCCGAGCCGCCCGTGACGCCCGAGCCGCCCGCGCCGCCCAGCAGCAGCCGAGCCGCCGCCGAGCCGCCGCCGCCTGAGCCGCCGCCGAGCCGCCGCCGAGCCGCCGCCGAGCCGCCGCCGAGCCGCCCGTGCCGCCCGAGCCGCCCGCGCCGCCCGAGCCGCCTGCGGAGCCGTGCTGCTGTTCCTCTGCTGCTGACCTACCTGCCTCTCCCCGCCCGGTGAGATTTTCAGCTGCTGTCATGGCCACCCCCAATGTTCTTACCTTTGACGCTGAGGGGAGGGCCATTGACTTTGCCGTCTGGATTGAAGACCTGCAGCTGTACTTACTGTGTGATGCGATAGATGAGGTCTCTCTCTTTGACTTTGTCTCTGGCGCTGTCCCTGCCCCGCCTGCTGATGCTGACTCTCCCGTTCGCTCCAAGTGGGCGACCGGCGATGCTGCTGCACGTCTTGCTGTGCGTCGCCACCTCCCTTCCTCTGAGCGTGCCCACTTTAGTCAGTGCAAGACCGCTCAGGCCTTGTACGACGCTGTAGTTGCACGCTACTCCTCCCCTTCCTCCGCTACCCTTAGCCGCCTCATGCTACCGTTTCTCTTCCCTGACCTCGCTTCCTTTCACACTGTCGCTGACCTCGTTACCCACCTCCGTGCTAGTGACACCCGCTACCGCGCTGCCCTTCCTGCTGAGTTCCGCGCTGCGAACCCTCCTCCCATGTACATCACTCTCTACTTTCTCGTCACCCGTCTCCCTGAGTCCCTTCGTGTCGTTAGGGACCAGTTTCTCTCTGTCTGTCCAACCACTCTCACTGTCGACCTCCTTGAGGAGTCCCTGCTAGCGGCTGAGAAGAGTATTGTCGCTGTAGGGGCCTCTCGGGGTGACCCTCGCACCCCCATCTTTGAGGGGTGTGGTCCTTCCCCCCTGCTGCCCTCTGTCGCCTCTGCCGCTGCGGCCGACCTCACTGGTTTTGCGTCGGTCGGCGCGGCGTCTGCCCCCAGCGGCAGACGTCGCGCTGGCAAGGGCAAGGGGGGCAAGGGAGCGGGTGGAGCTAGAGGGGGCGGTGGAGGAGGCGGTGGGGGTGGCGGGGGGAGTGGGGGTGGCAGTGGGGGTGGTGGCGGGAGTGGAGGTACTGGTGGCGGCGGTGGAGGCGGAGGTGGCGGCGGAGGTGGTAGCGGAGGAGGCGGTGGGAGCGGTGGGAGCGACGGTCCTGGTGGGGGAGGTGGAGGTGGAGACGGGGGTGGCGGTGGAGGCGGGGGTGGCAGTGGAGGCGGGGGTCGGAGTGGCTCGTCTCAGCGGAGCAGCTCCGGGGGTGGTCAGCGCCAGCAGCAGCAGCAGCAGCAGCCGCAGCAGCAGCCACAGCAGCAGCAGCGCTCTTGCACCGTCCCCGCCCCTCAGCAGCTCCGTGAGTGGTACTCGCAGCGTCAGCGTGGTGGTGCGCTTGGTCCTTGCCCCTACGTTCTCCGCACCGGTGACCGTGCAGGGGAGAGGTGTGGAGGCGCCCACACTGCCCGCCGCTGCTTTGGCCGCCTGACTGACGCCTGGCGTCAGCAGTTTCCGGAGGCAGCTGAGATCCCCCGCTGGGGAGAGGTGTCTAGGGCTGGTGTAGCTATTTATGATCTTGATTTTGATGCTATTCTCTCTGCTATGTATGCTGCGATTGGTAGTGATGAGGATGACTGTTACCGGTGTTTCCCGCCCGACCCGGGCATTGGTACTGCCGCGTCAGGTACTAGTGAGGCTGCTGCTCTAGGTGCCAGTGCGTCTGTGCTCTCAGGTGCTGGTGAGTCTGCCCTCTCAGGTACTGTGTCGGCTTCGGCCTCTCACACCTTCACCCTTGACTCTGGAGCGTCTCGCTCCTTCTTTCGGGACCACACCACTCTCACGCCGCTGAGTCGGCCGGTTGCGGTGTCCCTGGCTGACCCCTCAGGGGGGCCTGTCCTGTCTCGCTTCTCCACTGTCCTCCCGTGTCCGGCGGCCCCCTCTGGCACCCTGACTGGTCTTTACCTCCCCTCGTTCTCGACGAACTTGGTGAGTGGTGCTGACCTCCAGGATGCGGGTGTCCACCAGTTCACCCCTGCTCGTCAGCGGGTGACCCACTGCACGGAGGCGGATACAGGTCGCCACCTGGCTACGTTTACACGTCGGCCAGGGTCGAGCCTGTACACTCTGACCACTGCTTCTCCTCCAGGTGCTGAGTCTGGTAGGGTCACTTCGTCTGGTCAGGTGTTTGCTGCAGCGTCCAGGTCTGGTCCTGAGTCTGCCCCCTGCTCGTGCCGTCGTCTGTCTCACGAGACCCTCCTCTGGCACCACCGCCTTGGCCACCCCTCTCTGCTTCGGCTCAGAGGCATGGCCTTGCGAGTCCTTGTGTCTGGTCTTCCCCGGTCTCTCCCTCCCCTCCCTTCGGGCCCTGGCCCCACCTGTGTCCCCTGTGTCGAGGGGCGCCAGCGTGCTGCCCCTCACTCCTCCCAGTTTCCTCCGACAGAGGCCCCGTTGCAGACGCTTCACATGGATGTGTGGGGCCCAGCCCGCGTCCGTGGACAGGGTCAGGAGCGCTACTTCCTGCTGGTGGTTGACGACTACTCGCGTTACACCACAGTCTTCCCCTTGCGCAGCAAGGGTGAGGTCACTGCGGTGTTGATCGACTGGATCCGCGCAGCTCGTCTCCAGCTTCGGAGGAGCTTTGGCTCTGACTTCCCTGTTTTGCGTCTGCACTCGGACAGAGGCGGAGAGTTCTCCTCTGGCCTCCTGAGTGCCTACTGTCATGCGCGAGGCATCCGTCAGACCTTCACGCTTCCGGACTCACCGCAGCAGAATGGGATTGATGAGCGCCGCATTGGCATGGTCATGGACGTAGCTCGTACGTCCATGATGCATGCGGCTGCTCCCCATTTTCTGTGGCCGTTTGCGGTCAGGTACGCTGCGCACCAGATCAACCTCCACCCCAGGGTCTCTCGACCGGAGACCTCCCCAGCTCTGCTGTGGACTGGGAAGGTTGGCGATGCGTCGGCGTTCCGAGTCTGGGGATCTCGGGCGTTTGTTCGCGACCTGTCTGCGGACAAGCTGTCCCCTCGTGCTTCTCCCTGCGTCTTCCTGGGGTTCCCCCCCGACGCCCCTGGGTGGCAGTTTTACCACCCCACCTCTCGACGTGTTCTGTCCTCCCAGGACGTCACGTTCGACGAGTCGGTACCCTACTACCGCCTCTTCCCCTACCGCACTCCGTCCCTCCCCCCACCCCCGCTCTTCTTGGTACCAGGTCCCCCCCCGGTAGTCCCCCTCCCCCCTCAGGGTCCTGCCCCTTCAGGTGTGTCCCAGGTAGACGCGGTCGAGCCTGTCGAGGTCACTGGTGACTCTGGTGCTGCTGCGGGAGCTGAACCTGGGGGTGCGGAGTCTGGGGGTTCTGAGCCTGGAGGTGCCGAGTCTGGGGGTGCTGAGCCTGGAGGTGCTGTGCCTGGGGGTGCTGAGCCTGGAGGTGCCGAGTCTGGGGGTGCTGTGCCTGGGGGTGCTGTGCCTGGGGGTGCTGAGCCTGGGGGTGCTGAGCCTGGGGGTGCTGTGTCTAGGGGTGCTGAGCCTGGAGGTGCTGTGCCTGGGGGTGCTTCGTCTCGCCGGGAGCCACTCTCCCCACAGGAGCTGCGTGAGTGGTTTGCCGGGCGCTGGAGGCGTGCTGCTGGTGCAGAGGGTACTGCTGCTGCGCGCCCCGCCGGCGCTCGTACTGTGGGTGCTGGAGCTGCTGAGTCTGAGCGTTCTCCTGGAGCTGGTCCTGCTGAGGGTGTTGGCGCTGAGCCTGCCGTTGGCGGCACGACTGACAGTGCTCCTGGTGCTGCGGCTGGAGGTTCTGGAGCTTCTGGTGGTGCTGCTGGAGGTGCTGCTGGAGTGGGTGTTCCTGCCGGGGCTGTTGGTGCTGTTCCTGCTGTTTCTAGCGTCGCCGCGCGGCCCCGACCGTACTTTGTTCCGCTCCTGCAGCAGGTTCTTGGTCTTACACCTCCTCCTCCTCCCTTAGAGGGTCCGCAGCCTGTCCGGTCACAGCCACAGCTACAGCCTGCCTCCCCTTTGCCTGCTCCTTCTCCCTACGCTGGTCCGACTGGAGGTCTTACTGAGCGTCGTGAGCCTGCGTCTCGTCCTGTGTCGCTTGTTCGTACTGAGCGCGCTAGTGGTCGCGGCTCGCGTCAGCGTCCTCCTCCTGTCCCTGGCACGCACCGGATGTCACTGCGTCCGTCCACTGCTCCTCTGCGTGCCCCTTTGCCTTCTCCTCCTGCTTCCTCTCTTCCTGCTCTTGCCGACCCGGAGTCGGACGCTCTTCATGCTGCCAGTCCTACTGTCACGCGTCTCCTGGCTACTGCTGTCACTGACCCCTCCTTCGAGTCGTCTGCTGCGTCTGCCCTTGTCACTGAGCTTGTCGACTTTGCTGCGCGCTGTCGTCTAGACTACGCTCCTCGTCTTGTCACTGAGTCTGAGTCCGCCTGTCCTCCGTCCGTCGGGGGTGAGTGTGCCCTTGGCACGGACGTCCTTGAGGACAGGCAGGAGGAGTTCCAGTGTCTGGCCGCCGCTTCACCTCGTCTCGCGTCTGTACTGCTAGCCCCTGAGGGAGACCCGGATGCACCAGACATCCCGACTCCGCGCTCTTACGCGGAGGCGATAGAGGGTCCCTACTCCTCTCAGTGGCAGGCAGCTATGGATGCAGAGATGGCTTCCTGGAAGTCCACAGGCACCTACGTTGACGCTGTTCCCCCTCCTGGGGCGAACATCGTCAGTGGCATGTGGATTTTCAGGGTGAAGCGGCCGCCGGGTTCTCCGCCTGTCTTCAAGGCGCGTTACGTGGCTCGTGGCTTCAGTCAGCGGCAGGGGGTTGACTACTTTCAGACCTTCTCCCCCACCCCGAAGATGACCACTCTTCGGGTTCTGCTACACGTTGCTGCTCACCGTGACTACGAGCTGCACTCTCTCGACTTCAGCACAGCTTTCTTGCAGGGCAGCCTGCACGAGGAGATCTGGCTGCGTCGCCCACCTGGCTTCACTGGGTCCTTCCCTCCTGGTACCCAGTGGAGTCTTCGGCGTCCAGTCTACGGTCTCCGCCAGGCGCCACGTGAGTGGCACGACACACTGAGGACTACGCTCGCGGCACTTGGGTTTGCTCCTTCCACTGCCGACCCGTCGCTGTTTCTGCGCACCGACACCTCTCTGCCGCCGTTCTACATCCTCGTGTACGTCGACGACTTGGTCTTTGCCACAGCTGACACTGCTGGACTCGCCTACGTGAAGTCCGAGCTGCAGAAGAGACACACGTGCACTGACCTGGGTGAACTGCGCAGCTACCTTGGCTTGCAGATCACCCGGGACAGAGCACGCCGCACCATTACCCTGACTCAGTCACACATGGTGCAGCAGGTCCTTCAGCGCTTCGGCTTCACGTACTCCTCGCCTCAGGCCACTCCTCTGCCTACTCGCCACTCGCTCTCAGCTCTGCCTTCGGATGAGTCCGTAGAGTCGAGTGGCCCGTTTGCAGAGCTTGTTGGCTGCCTCATGTACCTGATGACCTGCACACGACCTGACCTCGCATACCCTCTTAGCATTCTCGCACGCTTTGTTGCTCCTGGGAGACACCGACCAGAGCACATGGCTGCAGCGAAGAGGGTGTTGCGCTACTTGTGCAGTACGTCGGGCATGGGGCTAGTGCTTGGAGGGCGCAGTCCAGTGGTCCTCACTGGGCACGCAGACGCTTCTTGGGCTGACGACCAGGCTACGCAGCGGTCGTCACAGGGTTACACCTTCAGCCTTGGTTCCGGCTCTGTCTCGTGGCGGGCTACCCGCTCGTCTTCTGTTCTCGGCTCCAGTTGTGAGGCTGAGATCTACGCTGGGGCTATGGCTGCACAGGAGTTACGCTGGCTCACCTACCTGCTGACCGACCTTGGAGAGCAGCCTCGTTCTCCTCCAGTCCTGTACGTAGACAACAAGGCCATGCTGGCCTTGTGTCGAGAGCAGCGACTGGAGCACAGAACGAAGCACATTGCTCTTCGCTACTTTCTTGCTCGTGAGCTACAGCAGCGTGGACAGCTGCGACTTGCGTACGTGGCCTCTGAGGCCAACACTACTGATGTCTTCACCAAGGCACTTGCGCCTTGTGATCATCAGCGTTGCTGCACGCAGTTGGGTCTTGTGCCTGTCTTGCCTCACTTGCTCTCCTCTTGACCTTGCTTGTACTTTCGCATATATATACTCTTGCTCTTGTATATCTCTATATATGATCTTGCATGTGAACTGGCCTTGTGGCCTTTGAACTTGTGCTCGGAATGCGTGGTGACTTTGTGATCCACCCTGAGCTTTGCTTTGCTTTGCTTGACTGGTCTTGTGACCCCTTGTTCTCCCCCACTTTGCCTATGGGGGTGTGTCAGAACTTATAGCTTACTTGTTTCTGTAGGCTATAGTGGGGTATCCCATAGGGGGTACAACCCAATTAGGGTTTCCTATTTGTACTCACTTCGTTCATAGTCATTCCATTCTCGTTCTTTGTTTTCACATGGGTAGCGCAAAACAGATTCGAGAAGCATTTCCGCTAAGCTCTCCCGCTGCCCGAGCATGAGGAAGAGGTTCGTCCACGAAGAAAAGGTGTCTGCTGGTGCGTTGACTGGATCATGGGTGAACTTGACGGACTTGCCGTCGTGAGATGAGAGCAAGGCTGCTCAACGAATGGTTCCGTTCCGTCATCGTCAATAGAGTGCAATTGTCGCCGCATAGCGGCGGGGCAAACACGACTGAGACGGAGCCTGCGTTGCAAGGTGACTGAAGGCATCGCGCTGTCGGGACTCGGGAAACGCGCCTCGCAAGCATGCTTCTAGCAGACTGCTTCCGAGAACTCGGAACCTGTCTGGCATCGCAACCCTAGGGTGGCGGGAAAGAAATTGATGAACAAGAGATGCGATATTTGCAAATTCGTTAACGTGGTGCAGATGTAAGCTTCAGAAGAACTTGAAACCGTGAAAGTGTTTATATTCACACCTCCTCATCTCAAGACTGCGGTTTTCATCATAGCTCTACAATATACGAATAAACTTGGACGTCGTGGGATCAAGATCTTACAAATAATAAAGACAATATTTCAGGATGATATGGTAAAAAAACTACAGCATCATCAGCTGAAGAGTTTGCCAGATGCTGCCAGCATCACGAGCAGGTGAGCTTGGTTGGCAGATATCCTGAAATCAGCAAGCATTATGAGCTGATGAGTTGGACATGAGTCAATGGACTCATCAGAAGCAACTGAAAACCCCACAGGGTATTTATGAGCTGATGAAATATGAATCAAATGCTGATGGCATCATCAGGTGAAGAGGCTGTCACTAAAAGTTGAAAGAGGATGCAATAGTGAATGCGCCATCAGCTGGCGAAGTTGCCATGAAATGCTCAAAGCATCATGAGCAGATGAGGTAAGACCGAGAAGACTTGGATGACCCGATGAACACATTAGCCTGCTGGGCTACCAGCAGGTTCGTCAAGGCTCACATTCCTGTGTCCAGAAAGCTGCCCTGGAGCCTCCCAGCAGTGCAACGCAGGGCATAGATGAGGTAAGACCGAGGAGACTTGGTTGACCCAATGAACACGTCAGCCTGCTGGCTGGGGTATCAGCACATTTGCAAGCGCTCATACTCCCGTGTCCAAGAAGCTGCTCTGCAGCTTCCCAGAAGTAGAGCGGAGCGCGTAGATGAGGTAAGACCGAGGAGACTTGGTTGACCCGATGAACACATCGGCCTGCTGGGCTACCAGCAGGTTCGTGAACGCTGCTCCCACCACCTTCTGCAGCACCTGCTGCTGATTGGCGCTTGCTCCTGTGGATGACGACGAGGAGGAGAGGCGGGGCGTGTGCGAGTCGAACCACGTCCACCCGGGGGTTGCTGCTAGCTGATCCAATGGCTGGTGGGCAGGGAGGGGCGGAAGGGAAGGCAGTGACAGGAGAGTGCAAGGTGATGAGTAGGAGTAGAGAGATGGAGGAGGAGGAGTGGAGGAGGAGGAGGAGGAGGAGGAGGAGGAGGAGGAGGAGGAGGAGGAGGAGGAGGAGGAGGAGGAGGAGGAGGAGGAGGAGGAGGAGGAGGAGGAGGAGGAGGAGGAGGAGGAGGAGGAGATGGAGATACGGGGAGTGCGAGTAGAACCACGTCCACTCGGGGGTCGCTGCTAGCTGATCCAATGGCTGGTGGACAAAGGGGAGGGCGGTGGTTGGGCGGAAGGGGAAGAGAGTGGAGGGAGAGAAGAGTGCTTGGCGATCAGTAGAGGTGGAGTCGCGGGGCGTGTGCGAGTAGAATCATGTCCAACCAGGGGTTGCTGCTAGCTGATCCAGTGGCTGAGGGGAGGAGAGGAGAGGCCGACGGGCAGAGGGGGAAGAAAATGTGAAAATGAGGAAATGCGTGATTTTTGAACCGACTTCGAAATTTGCTTCATGATGAGTGGAGGTGGGGAGATAGGGGGAGGCTTCTCTCGGATTCCATGCAAGCATGAGATGGGCGGCAGAAAGAAACGTGTGCGGCCTAGACAAGTGGCACAGAGAGGGGGTAAGGATGGAGAACAGGGCTCACCGCCCCCTCACCCGCTCAACCACCCCCTCACCTCCTGCTCATCAGCAGTGAGCCACACGAAGCGGGCAGCACCCATGGTTCTGCACACCCCGCCTGCACACCCACTAACCCTGCCCTGCCCACGCGCTTTGAGACGTCTCACAACAAACCCCTCACCTCCTGCTCATCAGCAGTGAGCCACACGAAGCGAGCAGCAGGGAGCTGCTGCCGCACGGCCAGCAGCGCACCCATTGACCTCTGCACGCCTGCCTGCACACCCACTCATCCTTCCCTGCCCACGTGCTTTGAGTCGTCTCACAACAAACAAACCCCTCACCCTCCACTCACCTCTTGCTCGTCAGCAGTGAGCCACACGAAGCGGGCAGCAGGGAGGTGCTGCCTCACGGCCAGCAGCGCACCCATTGTCCTCTGCACAGCCGTCTGCACGCGCACTTGCCCTGCTCTCCCCACGTGCACGCCCACCAGCGGTCGCGGCACCCACACAGCCCGGTGCCGCCGCCACAGGTCACTCTCCATGCTGCCCGGGGTGCCTTGGATAGAGGAGGGAGCATCTGCTGAGGAAGTGGGGCTGTGTCTGTGACTGGCGGTGCTGGCAGTGCTGGCAGTGCTGGCTGTGCCGGCAGTGCTGGCAGCCCAATCTCTTCCCGTCTGCGATACAAGTCTTCGCCGTTGCACCTGCTCCTCTGCTGCCTCCTCCTCCTCCTGCTCCTGCTTCTGCTCCTGCTGCGGCTGCTTTTGCTCCTGCTCCACTCCCTTTCGCGCTGGCTGCTGTTGTTGGCTGTTGTCTGTTTCTGAGAACGTTCGGCAAAGCCCGTGGAGCGGGAGGGATTTGAGAGCGGTAACAGACATTAGACATGCGACAGAGACGAGAGAGATGTGAGAGATGTGAGAGATGTAAGAGAGGTATGCTTGTAATCTGAGAACCGAAGAGAGACAGAAAAGAGTGAGAGAAAAGAGAGAGGGAAAAGAGAGAGGGAAAAGAGAGAGGGAAAAGAGAGAGGGAAAAGAGAGAGGGAAAAGAGAGAGGGAAAGGAGAGAGAAAAGTGAGCCACGAGGGACAAGAGAGTTGCAACACACTCACACTCCTCCCACGTGCAATCCCTCCCATCGCAATCCCTCCCTACCTCACCTGCCACGTCAGCGTGGGCCACAGCAGCTTCCCCCAGCGCAGCCATCCGTGCGGCCACTGGCCCAAACTCAGCGTGCCGGATGACATTGCTGACGTGGCAGAGATAGGGGGAGGGCGCGCGCAGCAGGAAGCGCAGCGCCTGGGCGCGCCACCACAGGTGCTTCAGCCTGGTGAGAGTGGGGAGAGAGAGGGGGATGGGGGGTGACAGGGGGTTGGTTGTGGGGTTTGTTGTGCCTGGGGCAAGGGGAGTGAGTATGGCATGTGCAGTGCAGCGCAAGGGGCAGCATGGCACGTGGGCTAGGACGGTGCGGTTGGGTGGAGATGGGTATGGATGGCCTTCTTCTTCAGTGCTCCTGCTCCCAAGATAAATTAGTTTGCCTTGATAATGAATTCGAGCCATCCATCCATATTTCCTTCGTCGTGTCACTCCGTGACGATTTCGCTGAGCAGCCATCCTGGCAACCCGAGGGCTGGAACAATTGCAAAGAGAGGGAAAGAAGGAAACGTGAGGGGTTCGGATAAGAAACGATGGTGGCAATCACGCTTGTGAAAATCACGTTAATAACAAACACAGTAATGAAAATTACGCTAATGACAATCACGCAAATGACAATTATGTTGTTGGACTCCTTTGAAAGCTCCTTTAAGAATCTTCGACAATCATGTCGAAGATGCATCATGTGCTTCGAAGAAATTGGTGTGCTCAACACCAAACTCACACACCGCTCTTTCATCTTCCTCCTCGCATCTTACCGATTCAGTTGCTTCGGATCCGATCGGCTTCCATTCACCCCATCGTCCCTTCCTCTGCCTCCCCCACTCCCATCCTCCTCCACCCCTCCCCCCCCTCCTATCCCCCCCATGGCCTCTTCCCCTGCTCCTACTCCCCCCACACCCCATGGCTCCCCTACTCGCCCCACCATATCTAGCCACGGTTTCCCCCACACCCTCGGGACCTCCGCTCGAAAATATTCAGCTGCTGACCCGGTCCTGCCCGGTTTCGCTTCTTCTACACCCTCATTGGCCGAGCTGTCGACAGATGGGACCTGATTGGCTGGATTCTCTGCAGCTGCCACGTCAGCGTCGCCCTCGTCCCCCTCGCCCTCGCCCCACTCCTCCAGCGGCGCCTCTGTGACTCTACGGCCCGTGACTATAAGGGGGTCTGCGCCTGTATAGCTACTAGGCAGCTCTGACAGCTCTTTCACTCGCCTGTGTGGAGAGGGGTTGTGGAGAGGGGTTGTGGAGAGGGGTTGTAGGGAGGAAGAGGATTTTCATGACGTCTCTACTCATTCACTCCTGCAGAGGCGCCTCTGTGATTCTACGCCCCGTGACTTGGGGTCTGGGCCCACATAGCTGGAAGGAAGCTCTGATAGCACTTTCACCCGCCTGTGTGGAGAACGTAAGGGGAGGGGGAGAGGGTGGGAGGGGATGAGGGAGAGGGGCAAGGGATAGGGAGGAGGCGGAGTGAGGGCGGGGTGAAGCAGGCGAGGTATTGAGTGCAGTGTGGGACGGCTGCCTGTGGATTGTAAAGAGGCAGCCGTCCCCCGCTGTGGCGACCCAGAAGGCCCTTGTGTGGGAACGAAACGGCAATGACACCAGAAAAGCACTTCCCTCTGCCACAATCGTCCCCCACCTCACCTGCGAGTTTTGAGGCGCCTCAAAAGCACAACTCCCCCCCACCTTACCTGCGGTCGTAAGTGCGCACCACCAGCACATCACACGCCCATTAGGTCCTTCGTTCAACCTCTTCCCGCCCCGCCTTTCCCTCACCGGCATCTCACCTGCGGCACTCATCGGATGTTTCAGGAAGCGAAATAACAATGCCACTGGGCATTTGCTTCCCCTTCACACCCCGCGTGCTGAGCACGGTCATAAATGCACGCCACCAGCACTCGCCCCTGCTGCACCCCACCCCTCCTTGCACCTCACCTGCGGCACTCATCAGACGTCTCAGGGAGGAAGTAGCAGTGCCAATGCGCATTGGCCTCCCCGTCACACCCCGTGTGATGGGCGCGGTCGTACGTGCGCGCCACCAGCACGCGCCCCTGCTGCACCGCCTGCCCCAGCGCTGCCACCACCAGCACTACTCGCCAAGTAACCTCTTCTCAGTGTTTCTATCACCCCACACCTACACTCACCTGCGGCACTCATCAGACGTCTCAGGGAGGAAGTAGCAGTGCCAATGCGCGTTCGCCTCCCCTTCACACCCCGCGTGCTGGGCGCGATCGTAAGTGCGAGCCACCAGCACGCGCCCCTGCTGCACCGCCTGCCCCAGCGCTGCCGCCATGTATGCCAGCTGCTTTTCAAAGCCATCTCGCCGCCGGCGCTCAAACGCCGCGTACATGAACCTGCAGGGCAGACGTGGGAATATGTGATAGGGAAGGCAACAGGGAAAAGGGGGCAATGAGAGGACGAGGGGAGGGACAGAGGCGATGGGAGCAGATGACGCCAGTGGCAGGGGGGCGAGGGGAGGGGAAAGGGCATGGCGTTGGGACAGGAGAGCACAGCCCGCTGCATGGGGGATTGGGATAGGTGAGGGGATTGGGGGTAGAGGATGGGCGGAAGGGAGGATGGGCGGAAGGGAGGATGGGCGGAAGAGGGGACGGGGGGAGGGGGAGCGCACCGCACATGGGGGAGGGAGCAGTTGGCGGGGAACTGGCGGCGCCACAGGTGGGTCTGCACGAGTCGCGTCAGCGGCAGGTTGGCGCCCTCCCCGCCCTCCACCCATGGCGGAAACGGCCCCTCCGCTATGACGTCAGCATCCGTGCTCAGAGAAAATTGCTGGGAAGAAGGTTCAGCTGTCTCAGCAGCAGCAGCAGCAGCAGCAGCGCCAACACCACTAGCAGCAGCTGTTGCTACATGAGCACCTGCGCCCCCACCATGATCCGCCTTCTCCCTCACTTCCCTCCCTCTCACCCCCTCATCCTCCTCCTCGCCCTCCCCCTCTTCCTTTTCCCCTTCCTCCTCCCCTTCCCTGTCCACCGCTCTCTCCCTCCGCGGAAGCATCTCGTATGCGCGCGGGTCTCGCGACGCATGATCGCGCGCCTGCCACGCCACAGCCCACGGCGGAAGAGATCCGTCCGCAGGCCGTGCCGCCCACCACTCCTCGCGGTGCAGCCTCGCGCGCTCCGCGCAATCCACCAGATGGGGCGCGCGGGGGACCGGCGGGGCCGGGGGAAGAGGTTCTTTCGCGGATTCGCCTAACGGGGAAGCTGTTTCCTCCTCCGCGGCATTGGCAGGAGCGTTCCCCTTCGCTCTCTTCCCCCGCTTTTTCCGTCCGTTTTTCGCATTTCGTCCTTTTCTATCCGTTTCAGTTGAAGGCGAAATGGCACGTGTCGGATCCCAAGCGGCCAGGAGCTCTTTCACTCGCGCCTCGAGACGTTCGGATGGCACCGCCACGTCGACTGGCGCTATTTGCGGGACTAACGAGCCAATCAGCTGCTGCGAGCTGAATAACGGTTGGCTTGGGTTCAATTGAAGTGTAGCTGCTGGGACTGATGATGACGTGTCGAAACGGGGTGTCGAACCGCGCTCGGAGGGCGGCTGGGAGGAGAACAGAGGGAGGAGGAGAAACGACGCGCAGAGCGCGACGAGCACGATGATGAGCAGCGACCGAGTGTGGCTGCTTGCGGGAAATGCGGCGGCCATTGCGGGGAACCGGAGGCTGCTGCCTCTATTACCATGACTACCTCATGCGCTTCGAGAGCACGGCTGCTAGAACTAGCTTGGGATTGATTCTGTTGAGTTCGATTGTGGTGACGAGGACGCTGTTGGGTTGGCTTGGCGCGCTCTGTTCAAATAGATACGAGGGAGAAATGAGCCATGTTTTGGCGGGAACCAAGCACAATATGTAAAAATCCTCGAAATAGGCTGACGCGCGATTGTAGTTCTTATGGATATTTTGCAAACCCGGTTTGATATTTCCCAGTGCAACCAAACGGAACCAAACACACACCGACACTGTTCTGCTTGAGCAAGCTTCACCGTACTAAAACGTACAAACCCGTTTGGAAGCTGACTTCGTCGGAATCAACCCCGCTGAAGTCGAAAACCGGCAAAAAAAACACCATTTTTGGGTCGCGATTTCACAGGATTTTTGCAGAGATTCTCTTTGCTCCACCACACCGCTACTCCACCTATTTCCTGGGCTAGGTTCGGCAGCACAGAGGATCCACCGAGCGATCGAGGGGGGAATCGAAATTCTCAGCTAGGGTCTCTAGTTCGGGGTGGTCAACTCGGAGTCAACCAGCGTTGACTCCAAGTCTGGGGTCCAGGTGCAAGCGGAACCTTTGGGGGAAAATGCGCGGATGGGCGACGCGGGAATTGGGGGCCCACGAAACTGCAGCCGCACGAAACGAAACTTCGCGAGCTGAACAGTTTTTCTTCTCCCTGCCTCATTTTACTGTTGCGATGGGATTGGGTACATCACTCCCCGCAAACATTTAACACTATAAATTAAATAGAATGTCTTAAATGTCGTGCTCACCCGTTTGACCTTATTGAATACAGCTGTTTTCCAATACATTTCCGATGTCCGGCTTACCCGTCAGTTTAGAGTGTGGGGTACTATCATAAAACAATCTCGTAGTTGAGGGAATCCATTTTACACCCCCCGTGGGTGAGGCCTTTCATGGGAGTGCAATTTGGATTCCGTGGGCACTAGGTCGGATTTTTTCCGCCATGGGGGAGGTTTTGGGGGAGGATGCGGCGCGGGTTACCACCTAGCGTGGTGTTCGCGTCGCGTTTTAGGCTTACGCTCGACATTTTTTTTCACATTTTTCTAGCCTGACCGAAGTGTTTTGCCTGGTTCGTACTGGTCGAGCCTGGAGGCTCGCCATTTTGAACCTCCATCAAACCCCCTCCCCTGGCTGCCGAACATCGCCCTGGTGTGTCCATTGCGCGCCAAATGCTCTCTCCATGCGCCTAGCATTCGCCCTGTAAGGCACTGGAACTGGATCGGTGGGTGTGTCGGGTGCTTCCAATCGAGAGCTCGTGTTTCGCCGACTCGTCCCATGTCTAGTCGGCGGTCGGCTATCAGCCGTCTCACCACTACCTGTCGCCGTCTGCTCGCGTCGCCGTCCAACGCGCTGCCGTCTGCAGCCGCGGGATCCGCGATTCGCTCCCCGCCCTCACCATCTGCCGCCCTTCCGCACGACCACCGTCTGCTTGCGCGCGACATTCCACATCTGCGCGCGTCCGCCCATTCACAGCCATCGTTTCTTCCGCCGTTTTCTCCGCACACGCGCAACCTCTCCCGCCTCTCTACCGCTCCTCCTACATCAGCCTCCCCCGATCACGCGCTGCTTCCGCCTCCTCCGCATTCCTCCTGCGCGCTTCCGCCAGCCACAGGGCTTTCGCCGTCGCTCCGCCGCTTCAGTGCTTCCGCGCACCTCTCCGTGGATTCCAAGCCCCGCAGTCGAGACAGTGAGGAGGGGGGGAGCAGGTACAATCGGGAAACCAGACGTAACGCGGCGGAGAATCTGCGCGCGGAGCACCGGCGCGCGGCAGAGGACTGGCGCGAGGAGACCCGGCGCGCGGAGGAATGGATCCGGTACAGCGGAGAGCCGCCGCCGCCGCGAGACACCGCGCGCAGCGCCGCGGCCGGCACATCTCGCAGGGGAGATCAGCTCGCGCGGCCGCACGGCCCGCGCGGCGGCAGGGGGAGCGGCGAGCGGAGCGACTGGGGCGAGCGGACCAGTAGTGGCGGGCGGAGCGATTGGGGCGAGCGGAGCGATCGGGGTGGGCGGAGCGATCGGGGCGGGCGGAGCGATTGGGGCGGCCGGAACAATCGGGGCGGGAGAAGCCGTGGCGGAGGGCGGGAACAGCAGCAGCACCACCCAAAGGCAGAGGCGGCGAGGCGAGCCGCGCGGCACAAGCGGATCCTAGAAGAAGAGGAGTCGCCGTCGTTCGAGAAATGGCTGCAGCGGCAGGGCGGGGGGAGCGCTGCACGCGAGGGCGGAGGGGGGAAGCAGTGGCGCGAGAAGAAGGTGCGGTGGGTGGCGGGGACGTATGCAGAGATGCGCGCTTCACATGGCATGCGGCTGCTGAACGCCCAGCGCGCATGGATGGAGAGTGAGGACGTGGCGATGGTGGCGCGCCACCTCATGCACATGGACGGCCACGTGGCACGCACGGGGGGCGGGGATGCGGGTGGGGGTGGGGGCGGAGACGCGGATGGGCTAGACGTTGAAGGGGAGGAGGGGGAGCAGAGGGGTGCGGATGGGGGAAGTGAGGGAGACGCACTGCAGCAGCAGTGGCAAGAGCAGGGGCAGGTGCAGAGGCAGCAGCAGGGGCAGGTGCCGGGGGGAGAGCAGGCGCAGGAGCAGGGGCAGGGGCAGGGGCAGGGGCAGGGGCAGGGGGGGGGGCAGGAGGAGTATCACGGGCACGAGTGTGCATTGCGAGTGCTCAAGTGGGGCCACAGCATGGGCATCTACTCGCCTGCCACGTCACCCCGCGAGGCCATGCTGCTAGCGCGCCACCTGGCGGGTCGCCAGCGCGTCGCTGACATGCTCGTGCTGACACAGATGTTCCTCGCCGCCCGCCCGGCGCCTCCCGTTTTTGCGGAGGAGATGCTGGCGGTGCTGGCGGCGTGTGTGCGGCACAAGCGGGCGGTAGACGCTGCGGCAGTGTACTCGTTTGTGAGGGGTGTGGGGTGTGCGGAGGGGGGAGGTGGTGCTGGAAGGGGAAGAGGGGTGCGGGAGGGTGTTGATGGGGGGCGAGGGGAAGGGAGGTTGAGGCAGAGAGGTGTGGAAGGGGGGGAGGTGAAGGGGGAGGAGAGAGGGAGGGGAGAGGAAGTGGTGATTCCGCAGAAGCTGCTTCAGAAACTTCTCGAGGTTAGTGAAAGGTTTGTGTGTCAGATGGGCTGGTGTGCTGTGCGAATGGGCGGATGGGGGAAGTGTTCATGTGGTGTGAGGTTCAGTGCGGCATGTTCAGCTGGCGTCAGTAGTTGCTGTTGTTTTTTCTGCCAACTCGTTTACCTTTCCAAGGCAGTGAATGGGGTGGGCATGACATGGAATGACATGACATGACATGACATGGCATGGCATGGCATGCCATGCCATGCCATGCTGTTGCGATGCTTGCAACTTGGTGACGCTCTGTGTTCGATGCTCAAACCCGCCTATCGAGGTGACTTTTGAGTCGACTCAAAAGTCAACTTGGTGACGCTCTGTGTTCGATGCTCAAGCCCGCCTATCACGAAATCCCTCTCCCAATCCACCTCCTCAACTTTCTCCCGCACCTCTCGCTCATCTTCCTCACCCGGCCTGCCAGTATCTGCAGCAGCCAGAGCACGCCGGTGTGCATGCACAGGTGAAGGCACATGTGGAGAAGGAGTTGCGCCTGCATGTGGAGTAGCCGGGTCGTTCTTGCAACGCTGGAAAGGTGGAATAATGACTTGTTGGTGTCATGCTGGTCTGCTGGCATGCCACAGTGGTCTTGCAGCAGAGTTGTCGTCGTCACCTAGGTGTCGAACCTGCCTGGATTATCAGCGAATGGGTCCAATGGTAACAACGAAATGAATATCAAATCACACAGAAATGATAAAGTTTGAAAGTGTATCACTTCCTAATTTTTGTATTGTGAAAGGGGGTACACATAAAAGGTACTAGCGCCGAAGCGCTACGAACCCTCTTTTGCCTACAAAAGAGGGACGTGAAGCAGGCCCTCAGATTCACTTTTAGGGACGTTGATGCATCAGGGTCCCTGTGAAAAAAAGCCTGAATTTTCAGGGTTCCTACAAAAAAAGCCTGAATTTTCAGGGTACCGGAAAACAAAAGCCTGAATTTTCAATCACATCATGCAATTGTGCAAGAGAATAGCCTTTACGAATATGGTAGTAGAGGGATATGAACCGGAAACCTTGCCATTCGGTATGTACATCGCTAACCACTAAGCCAGTTCATCGAGTCGACGATCTGTATTTTTTTACAGAAGATTTTATTATGTGGAAATGTTGGTTGACTTATTGTCTCGGGTGTTTTACGGGAAGGATTCGGAATGTGCATTCAGTGTACACTTCGATAAAAGTCTGAAACATCAGCGTTAGCTATGAAGTAAAGGCTGAAAAAATCAGTGTCACAAAAATCTCAACACTGAAAATTCAGTGTAGGTACACAAAACTAGGCTGAAAATCAGGAATTTCAGGGAAAAATTCCTGATATCGTAGGGCCTGACGTGAAGCCATTTGCCCTCACCGGGTTTTTCATTTCTACTTGTAGTTTCAATTTCTCGCTCTCGTCCACACTGGCGAATACACAATCACTTCCGCGCTTCAAGGCCCCGACAACACTACTCACCGACATCTTCCTGCGCAACCTCGCAACAATGGCTCCGGTCAACACGACTCTTAGGGTGCGTTCCTGCGGGGACACTTGTGTCTCAATCACTTAGTGACACGCGAAAACAGCATATACTGTACTGCGTCACAAACGCGGATCGCCCTAGTGCGATTTTTACTGTATTTTACATTGGTTGGCATGAATTGCGCTGGTGTCGCGAACGAGTTACACGAGGCCCCGTCACACTCTGAAAATCGCACGCGGTTCGGAATGTCTTGCTGTACCGCATGCACCTGGACGCCCGAAGTGGTGTCATATTCGAGCGGGAAAAGAAACCGCCCTTCCCGGGCAGACCAATTTACAACTTCCGTCACTGTGGCAAGCAAAATCGCCACTCGCTTCATGCACACTGTTTTGGCACCCTGCCCGGCGGGAAAACAGGTTGGCCCAATCCAATTGGTCGCAATCACTAAAATGCGTCAGTTTGTACCTGCCAATCAGTCGCCTTACGTCGCGGTACATTTGCCGTTTGTGACACAACATTTGGTACATTTGCATGCACGACTCGTGGAAAAGGGGATTGAGAAACAAGTGTCTGTCAAAAGCTTAGCTAGGCTAAAGGAGCCATAGCTAGTTGAGTTCGAGTAAGTTGAGTAGAGTCGAGAGAATTGAAAAGAGAAGAAGGGTTTTCACTATAGAGCGAGCAGTACATATAGGCAAGATGAAAGGTGCACCACCAAAACAGAACATTATAGAACTACACTACAGGCAGTTACAAAACAATATATAGAAATATATATTATTCTTGACACGCCCCCATAAGTGCCTGTAGGGAAGAATATGCAGTCAACGCCCCCATAATGGGGTACACCAAGCAGAGTGCAGTTGAAGTAGCAGCAGTAGGCAGGAGCAGTGACAACCAGTGCAGAAAACAGAGAACAGAAGGGAGAGAGGAGAGAGAGAGGAGAGGAGGTGGTAGGCTCTGGTTGGTCACCCCCTACATCCCCTCAACCTCCCCCTCCCCCTCCCCATCCCCCTCACACTGCTGCAAGAGCAGCAGAGGGGGGGGGGGGGGGGGGTAAACGGAGGAGAATGGGGCCGTAGGGCCAGGGGACCACACATCACCCATCACCCCCACACCCGCCACCCCCAGTCCCTCCCCGGGCTCCCCCACACTCCCACACCCTCCCCCCCAGCGGCAGCTGCAGCAGAGGGAACAAAAGGAGGAGGAGAAGAGGGGGGAGGGGGGGCGACGCACGGCCTCCCCGGGCGCCAAAGCAAGCGGCAGAGGGGGCGACGACTGCCCCCCCCTTTCAGGTGGCCCCCGAAGGAGCCGCGACAGGTGACGGGAAGAAGGGGGGGGGGGGTGCACGTGCCCCCGGTGTGCCGTAGCTGGTGACGAGGCATGGCCGGGACGGGGTCGGGACCGCAGGTGTAGGAGACGGGCGGCTCACGGGCGGGCGGGTGGCTCGCGGACGGGCGGCTCAGAGGCGGCGGCTCACGGGCGGGCGGCGCACGGGCGGGCGGCCCACGGGTGGCGCCGGCTCACGGGCGGGCGGCTCACGGGCGGGCGGCGCACGGGCGGGCGGCTCACGGACGGGCGGCGCACGGGCGGCGCCAGCGGCTCACGGGCAGGCTGGTGGCGCACGGGCGGGCGGCTCACGGGCGGCACCGGCTCACGGTCGGGCTGCGCGCGGGTGGCGTCGGCTCACGGGCGGGCGGCGCACGGGCGGGCGGCTCACGGACGGGCGGCGCCAGCGGCTCACGGGCAGGCTGGTGGCGCACGGGCGGGCGGCTCACGGGCGGCGCCGGCTCACGGTCGGGCTACGCGCGGGTGGCGTCGGCTCACGGACGGGCGGCGCACAGGCGGTCGGCGCACGGGCGGGCCACTGGCGGCTCACGGGCGGCGGCTTCGCAGACGTCGGCGCACGGGCGGCGAGGCCGCAGTGAAGGGCGGCGAGACCGCGACGTAGGGCGGCGGGGCCGCGACAGTAGAGAGGCGGCGAGGCCGCGACAGTAGGGCGGCGGGGCCGCTTAAGAAAGGCGGGGGGGCCGCGAGAGTAGGGCACACCACGGGGCGTGCAGAACACTTAGTAGCAGCGGAAGCAGGAGTCCAGGAGCGTTACGTGCTCTGTACCATGTCAAAAGCTTAGCTAGGCTAAAGGAGCCATAGCTAGTTGAGTTCGAGTAAGTTGAGTAGAGTCGAGAGAATTGAAAAGAGAAGAAGGGTTTTCACTATAGAGCGAGCAGTACATATAGGCAAGATGAAAGGTGCACCACCAAAATAGAACATTATATAACTACACTAGTCTACACTACAGGCAGTTACAAAACAATATATAGAAATATATATTATTCTTGACAGTGTCCCCACAGGAATGTACCCTTAATCGCGACAACGCTAACACTTCGAAACGCAGTATCGCGGCGGAAACTTCAACGCTAGCCGAGGCAACCAATTGTCGCGAAAAACGCCCTATTGAAGAAATTTCGAGCGAGGGTCCTTTGACAGTCGACCTCCTGCTCGGAGGCACCCTTCGCACCCCCTTAGAAGAAACGCCGTGTGCTCCCAAGAAGATGACGATTGTCGTTGACGCGTCAGCCATGTTGACCGCTGCTGACGTGGGTCAACCCGGGCCCACGACCCAGAAATGCCAGCGCGCGACACCGTCTGCTGACGTCATGCGGGTCAACGCCCCTCCAATTTTGACTACACAGCAGCTGCAGGTGCTACTCTCGCTATTGCAGCAGCAGGCACCGGTTACAGCTACATCGACTGACTACATTTCAGCTTCTGCAAAAAAATGAAAAGCAGAAAGAACCCGCCACACCCCCTCGTACCGCCAAGGCCGCTCGCGCCAATAGCACCGCTCCTGCGCCCGCCCCGACTTCGGCACCAATCCGGCTGTGGGTGTGGGTGTGGGCATGGGTGTGGGCATGGGCGTGGGGTTGGGGGTGGGGGTGGGGGTCGGGGGGAAGGGGGTAGGGGGTAGGAGGGTGGGGGGGAGGGGGGTGGGGGGGGGAAGAGAGGGGGAGAGAGAGGGGAAGAGAGAGGGGGAGAGAGAGGGGGAGAGAGAGGGGGAGTGAGAGGTGGAGAGAGAGGGGGAGAGAGAGGGGGAGAGAGACCGGGGGGGGAGAGTGTCCAGTTCGCTAACCAACTGGGCTAAAAGGGCATGTTTCCTTGGTGGATCAGCGCACCCATACCCCCCCAGGACGACACCTGTAGCCCTTGGGGAGACCACTTCGGGTCATTCCAGTGTCCACTTCCAACACTCCCCTCACTAGGAACCATTAGGGCCTACAGTTCCTCTCGAGGCTTACCATCAGAGCCAGAATTGAGAACCTTCCGGGAAACCGCTCGGCTGCAGTTGAGAAACGGCTCCAGCGATTTCAAGAAGAGGAATGGGATCTGCTATACTCAGAAGCCAGCACCATCCCCCCGAACTCACATCAGAACAAGCACCAGCCAGACCTCGAAGGCATGTGCGCCAGAGCAGAAGGCATGGTACGGAAGGCAAATCTTGCGAAGGCCTTGGCAACGTTATAATCCACTCCACTCACAGAGCAATCGCCTGCCCCACTCGCAACCATTTGCGCAAAACACCCGGAGGTAGGGGAAGCAATGCCTAGATGGGTTACTAGATACACCTCGTCATCCCTCGCGACCGCCACGGACGGATTGTGCGAAGTGTTAGCTAAGTTCCCAAATGAGATTGGGGCCAGCCCATCCGGAACGTGCTTTGAACACCTGCGAGACCCCGCTCTAGTGAATGGAGAAGTATTCACGCTACTTCACCAAGTCATCAACATGCTACTAAGCACGTACCTAAGCGAGCCGCTGAAGGACCTCTTGCTACCATCAAGGTTAATAGCGCTGGAAAAGCCCGGAGGGGGGGTCATGCCAATTGCGATTGGCGAAGCAATACTTAGAGTGGCGGCAAAGGCGGCGCGACGAGAACTCTCGAATAGTATCCGCCAGCTTTTCTTACCGGTCCAATTCGGCGTAGCAGTGCCTGGAGGAGCTGAGAGCGTTATACATACCACACGTGCCTTATTCGCGGACAACCCTAGGCGGAT